AGTTATTCTTATAGCTTTTCAAAATAAGGCGTTATATGCGAATGAGCGATCCTCCCCTTTTTGAACAGCATTCACTCGTGGGCCAAAACACGTCCGTGTACCAAATTTTATCACAATATGTCAAAAATTGTGCAATAGTATAGACTGTACAAGACGGACAGAAAAGTTTAGACTCCAAAAGTGATTCTCGATCGATCGGTGTAATAAAAAGCGAGTCTATCTCCATCCCTTCTGGATGTTGCTTGCATCCGCACAAACTCGATGTGCCATTGGAAATGTAGAAATGTTACGGCTTCAAGGTTCAACACAAATTTATATCAGACACCATGAGAGGCATTAAAGCAGAGATCGAAGTGGTGTGCTTTCGTTTATACTTTATATTCGTTTTGCAGGAGGAGGAGGCCCCAAATATACTAAAAAACCGGCTCCAGTGACTTTCCATTTGTGTGCTTGAACTCCTTCTTGAATGATATAACAGAACAATATAAGGGTTCTAAAGCGTACGTCTGCACGCTATCCACTTCTTTAACAGAAGCTTTATATAAGAAAATGTATTGTGCTTGAAAGCAAATTTATATGTTGATGCGCCATCGAAAATTGTTGTATGACATCAAGTGCTGCACAGGCAATAAAGAGCAGACATCTAGATTCCTCCGTTTTAGCAAACGCACAAGTCGTGATGCGGAACAGGCTTAGAGTAATTTGTGCTGCTGCGACATGACTGAGATTGTGGATAAAGCTCATGCAAATTGCAAATGCAACCGTGGGCATTTGTTGCTTCCTAAACGCTTTACTATCTTTTCTATCTTTCTTTCTGTAGTTATCTCGGATAGATGGTGAGAGGACAGAAGGCTGCAAATTACGTAGGCAACGTAGTACTCCTAGTTAGATGAACAATGTGTAAAGATTTTCAAAAAATGGTCCACATTACTTAAAGAGAAAATCTGCTTCTGTTTACTAATTTGCCACATTATCAGACATTTTTCATGTTTGAACATTTGGCTGACATGTAATTTGAATGCATTCGTGTGCCTTTGATCGAACGAGTGCATTTTTCTTTAGTAGTGTGTTCTGATTTTAAACTAGCGTTATGCTTACTAACAACTACGCAATTTTACGTTATTCAAAATCATTAAACCTAAAACCTATGCAAGGGTATATAAAGTTTGTGCGGACTATGTACCATCCTGAAGAACTTGGGAACGACCCACGTTTTGTTATACCGAAACATTTTCTGAATCGACCTTTGCTTATCTGTCCATATTCTTTCTTTGTCCACAATTTTAGAGATATTTTGATGAAAATTGTTCGGATCGGATCACTTTTCAATCACTTCCCGTACAAGAGTCTTATTTTGAATATATATTATATATAGAAAAGACTGTTGGCTAGTTTAGTGTATTTAATATTGGAACATGCTCCATAACAATGTTTTTACTTGTTTTAAATTAAGCTGAAATTATGTCTGCTATAAAATATTGCGGAAACATATGCTGTACAACTAGAAAAATTGTTTGCGCTACGGCAATTTCCTTTAAGTTTAGAATTTTTAAAAGATCACATATTAAATCGCCAAAGAAATATTCCACGCCCATCTGAGATAATAATAATTGGCGTAAAATTATTCGCTTCAAATAAAAGTTGACTTATCAAGCTTATATTTCGTAGATGTGCTTACAAGAAGAGCCTGAATTTAAGATTGCCGCTTCCTTTTTTCTTCAGATCATCTATTTCTGTATTAGTTAGAAACGTATACGAAGTAAGTGAAATTGTAGTCGCATGGCACAAACTTCGTTCACGTTCCATGAAGCGGTTAGCAATAGTGATTAACCCCGCCTGGATTTGTTAGTCAACATCAAACGTAATGACATTTCCTGTACACCTATTCGCATCGCACACAGTTCAGTTGACTCTCTCAACCAAAGTTGTATGAAATATGGCAAAAGTCGCAAAAAATATGTTACTACAGTCTGGATTGTGATAAAAATATTTTTTGTTCAACTAGCACAATGCAGTTCATTACAAAATATGGAAGCAGACTGCAAGTGATCACTGCTGCTGTGCGTGCTCTTCTGTATTTCATTACAATGTTATCACGAAACAAAGAAATCACAATTCGTCGTCGTAATAACTCGTATGGATATACCCTGACGTCTATAATGAAGCATTGGTACTCTTGAACCTATAGATGCTTTCTTTCAATTTTTATTTACACTTATTCTATTTGAAAGTAACAACAAGAAGTTGCCAACATTGAAAATATAGAGCCTTCTGTTGACAGTTGCTTTGAAGTAGTTGACGATCTATCTAATTAAAACACGAAAACACGTTGAACATCACCGGAAAAAATTGTATTGTGTTAAAAGGCTATTGTTTTGTTATATGACAGGCTACTTGGTTATAATAACGTATTTTACCAAATTATGTCTTCAGGAATCTAATAGCTGAGAAAATCCAAGTATTGGACAATACTGGTTGGAATCTTTTGTACACAGACGGCTCAAAATCTCCTGGTTTGCCTCCTGCTTGTGCGGTGGTGAATGCTACAGGACGGGTTCTTCTCAACCACGTATTTCACGAAAGCACTTCAACTTTCATAACCGAAGCCAGAGCTATCCTTCACGCTGCCAATCTTGCCCATAAAAACAAACTCAAAACCGTCATTGTTACTGACAGTTTGTCTAATTAAAATAATAATAATAATAATAATAACTTTAGATCTTTCTTCTTCATTAGACAAAAAGGGGGCTTAATTTACATTACTTTTTTTTTCCTAATAGTTTTACTTATTTTGTATTTCTTGACGTTTTTGGAATTAATTATAGTAAAAATTCTAAAATTAATTTAAGTGAATAAGTTGAGAAGCATTATCAAATCTTTATTACGCACTCGAAACACTTCATCAAAATAACAAATAAACAGATAAAACAAATGAGAATATTGTAGTCAGAAAACGTCGCTGTTATATACCCTACATCACTTCGCCTAGTACGGTTATTCGTTCGTTTTGGTAATAACGCACCAAAGAGTACAAATTATTTTCACGCAAAATTATAGTTTTCAGGAAAGCACGCATATTGGAAAGTTAGATTTTCTCTATATAAGAGTTTGCGTTTCGTGATCGTACGTATATAGATTGAGATGCAAAAAAAAAAATACATCTATGTGATCGAAATTCCCTACTGTTAATTTTTTATTGAAACGCTACTATAAATTAATTTTCATCATAAAATATTAAAAATTAAGCCTTTTTCAGAAGGGCTTACCAATCATGTGTCATCTTATATGGAGGGGTGCCAGGAAATAGGTTCCAATTAGGTCATCTTAATCTTTATATTTAATTACTATTATGAAAAAATTTTCATCGCAAAAAAATTAACAATTAAGCCTGGTAGGTGGTATGTAAAAACTGGCCTACGTTAATCAGATCTAGCAAGGTAGATTTCTTCGTCAATTTACTATTATGAGCTAAATTTCACCATGAAAATTCGACCTTTTTACTACATAGAGGTTCAGTTTTCGTAGGAACGGGTATTGGAGAGTGGGTTCAAAAAACGACTCCAGCCGGTCTAAAGTTTTCATACCAATTGAGAATGCTGAAATACTACTACTACTTAGCCAATTTGTCCGAGAGGATTTGAAGTTTTTGCCATACAATGACTTTTTTCCTTGGGACAAAGCATGTCTGTGAACCAAATTTCATTAAAATATCTCCAGAAATTGCGAACTGCAACAAAATGCATCAACGCACTTCAGGCGATAAGGCGATCAGACGGCCAGATAAGCTTAGACGGTATAATAAAAGTTAGGTGGATATTAACACCTTCTGCGTCGCTCACACTAACTTAACATAGCCTGTAGCAAAAGTATAGATAGGCAGTGAAATAAAATAAGAGTCGTTGAAAAGATAAAAACAACAAATTTTCTAGCGTTCAAAGAGCATTTAATCGGGGCAAATGAATCGTAATATTCTAGGAAACAAATTGGTTAAGTTTGACTAGGTTTCATGATTAAATTTTTTAGTAACTTTGCAAAAAATTCTACAAATTTTTACACTATTCCAACTACAGAATCGTGATGCCTTAGTTAAAAAAAATATAATGTAGACGTTTTACGTATAAATTCTTCGAGAGGCATTTTTAAGCTATGTTTTCCCACTATTCTTTTATTCTGTGTGGATCTAGCCGCCTTTTTCTATGCTTTCTTAATACCATAGTTTCTATAATATATTGTGGTTTTTACCACAACGAATGTCTGAAGCAAGGACTCAGCAGACTATCTCGCAAATACTGAATTCAAATATAACGGAATCAATATAAGCAGCAGCGATGAGTTTTTATAATTGTCAATTGTGCGTTTAATATTTCGACCTGAAAAGATTAAATTGCGAAGTAAAGGAACTATAGAGTTTGTCACAATTGCTATAAGCGTGTGGGGTGCACATGCTAGCAAAACAGTATCTTGCACAAATAATATACATAAATCTGTAGGATCTTAAGAACAATATTTCATTTACACTTTAACAAGTTTTTAAAATCATATACGCTTGAGTGGATGTTTTTTCCCAATGGGAAAGAAAAGCAAGGAAAACAATTCCTTGCCATGTTGACAACGGCATACAACTATGCACCATTATGTGAACTCAAAGTTTATATATTTTATAAATAAATTCTATACGAAGGAAAGTTGATTTTGAAAAAGCTTTTACAAAATGTTTTACGGTTGCGTTGATTTTAATTTTATTTTCTAATTTCACAGACAAAATAAAAAACTACAATACTCATAACTTTTCTTCTTCCATTGTTAAACACTTCGTTGGAAAATATAAACTACGAAGTAGTTAGTAAAAAATAAATAAAAGATAAAAAAATTGTTTTTAATGAATAGTGTAACCATGACGTCCAACTTACTACAAAATAAATATCGCTTAGTGGCATTTTCTTTAATTTCATTTTTAATTGATTTTTTTTCCTTTTGATTGAACGAAAATTTGCAATTACCTGGTATGCCATAGTCCCCGCTAAATCGTTTCGTATCATAATTAACAAATTTCTCAACATCTGGCGGCAAATGAAAGACATCTGTTAGCACTTCAGGTGGTTGATCTTCTTCTGGTTCATCCTTTTTCGGACGTTCAATACATAATAGTTTTGGTAAAATGTCTATAAAAATGCGCTGTACCCAAGGGGCCATTTTATGTGTAACCGGTGATCTATGAAATCAACAGTTTTGAAATATTGAAGAGAGGATGATATATTTTAATTATTTATTTAGCTTACCTAAAATTAACATTAAGTACTGCAATGGTAACTACAACCGACAGTGTTACCAGCATCATGGTGAATAGTAAATATTTACCCAATAAAGGTACCGTTAATGATGTGGGCGGTATAATTTCCGCAAGCAATAGAAAAAACACAGTCAACGATAGCAATATACTAATACACAATGATATCTTTTCGCCTGAATCGCTGGGTAAATAGAATACTAAGACGGATAGAAATGATATACCCACACAAGGTATTATAAGATTGACGGTATAGAATAGTGTTTTGCGCCTTAACGTTAGATTGAAGACGATATCCAAATACGGTTCCTCACAACAACTGTAGAATTTCTCATTGCGTACAGCAGGAACGCGCATTATATCCCACTCAACGGATATATAATAGTCCTGTAAATCGATGCCTACCTCAATGTTATCGGAATCCGGTGTTTGCTTCAGATGTCGTAAATCGACCTATTCCGTAATTTAAAAAAAAAATTTATATCAGATATTTTATGAATTCGCAGCAACAGCGAGTATATAAAAAGGAAAATATGCCCAAAGATTTTTATATCTACTTTCAGGAGTGATTTCATTTTAGCTTTTAGTTTTAGTACTTTTAGTAAAAGCAAACGTAAATCAATCAAAGTCATCTTTTACTTTCTCCGCTTCCACAAAGCGACATCTTCCACAAGATATAGCATAAAATATTAGAATGTTGCAGATGTACAAGAATTTCTTAAGATATAAAAATCTTAATGCAGCACATATGCAAACAACATATCCAATACAATAATAATAAACGAAACGTCTAAGAAATGGAAGGTGCAACTCCGCCCCATACTGTCATATGGACGTATATTGCCAACCCTTCTTGATCCTTTATGTAAGAAAAGAAGTTAGTGCTAAGAAAAGAGACGGTGAGCAACCACAGTTTTTTTTCATTTGTGCGTTTTTTTAAAACGCTATATGCTTTTTGTGAGTGTGTGGGAGAGCTACGCAGTCGGCACTTATTTCTTTTGCATTCCATTTGATATCAAAAATATACAGTACCATTCGGGATATTCGGCATTCAATATATACTTTAAACCAAACAAAAGCGTTCTTGTCCATGACTGAATCTAGTTGTAAGATGCGTCCTGTATTAAAATTGCTTCACATTCTCAAAGGGCGAATTTCTCCGTTTGACAGTCGTTTGGCAAACCGGTGGATTGTATATCGTTGAAAATGGCTTTTTTTGCGGTACACTAAGAAATAATTCAACTAAGACTTTTAACAAGTTTCAGACGTGATCCTTGAGTTTTGCAAAGTCAAGAAATTAAATAAAACAAATAAAACCACTGTAGCGGGAAACGGCCTGCCATTAAATAGTCCATACCGTTTCTGCACTAACACAGTTTTTCCTGAAACAACTTATTAAAAAAAGATTTTCTGTTGGAAGTGGTTGCAAAATGGCTCGAAAATTGTACAGGTGGAGTACAAGAATAAAAGACGGGACACGTTCTTCTGAGTGTTGCGTCGATCCTTACCAAGATAATGTACCGTTATTGCACTAGTGGTATATGGGGTATAATGAAACTGATTCTCTGACATCTTAAGAAAATCGAAAAAAATAAAATAACAGTTTACTGACCCCATCAAAAAGTACTTTTTCTTCAAGCTCCCAAGAAAAACAAAAAAATAAGTTACGCCACGCCCATCATTAAATACTTTGCATAAGTTGGCCTAATTCAACGGATTTTAAAGGTTTTCCTTTGATTAGAACCCTTATACAGGGAAATAGATCTTCGTAGTCAAAGCTCACCACAATAAATTTGTACGGCATATCAATAGTTTTTTACAATATTCCCCATTAAAGCGTAACAAACTCAGCAGGACAAACAAAAGCAAAGGTTTTGTGCTTTTATGCACATTTGCGCTCAACCACATTTCGTGATTTTGTAAATATTTGGATGAGATGAGGTACTCTGACATCTATTGGCTCAAATGAATGAAAATTTCAAAAGTAATTCGATTAGAAAATAATCCAAGAAGTCTGACTTACTTTGAAAAGAAGTTATTTTCTTTTAATTTAAAAATTTCTTTGTCAAAATAAATAAATGAATAAAATGCTTTTTGCTTACCATATAGCCATCATAAGTCCATGAACCGAATTTCATGAAACACGTCTGCTCATCGAATGGAAAGTATTCTACGTCAATTTCGCAAAATGATTTATAAATGGCGGGCGGTTTCCACACCACTTTGCCGGTGTGGTGTAAAATTGCTTTTGTCATTATTGTCACTTCGTAATTGCCGTCAGCACTGGAATTGGGACAGTAAAAGATATAAAGAGAGAGGGAGACAAAAGAAGGTAAAATGCTTTTTAATAACAATTAAAATATAAATTTTTTTCACATTTAGTTTCTATAAAACTTATTTTTTTATAATTAAATAAGTCATAACTAAGCGTCATCACGCATACACATCGGCCACAGTTCAATGCAACAAAAAGATAAGTTTATATCAGATTTAAGAAAACCAAAAAAAAAAAAAAGAAAAAACGATCTGAGAGCTATTGTTTGCTAAAAATTGAAAAAATTTAGTGCACGTTTATGCAAATTTATAATATGGTATTTTTATGGAATTTTCAAGTTGTTTTTAATTTTCAAAATAAAATAGAGGTAAGCGAATGCAAATTTGCTTCCGCTTGCAATTATATTGATATGATAAGAGTAGAAAGCCGCTTAAAGAGTAGAGTCGCAGTAAATTTTTTCAAATGAAAAAACAATTTTTTTAGTATAGGTTATAAATATTTTAGAACGCGGCGAAAAAAGCTTATCACCCATAAGAAATATTGTCCCTGAAATTCTGACGTTTTTCTTCAAGCAATTTGAAAAGACTGCCTGTGTCAAATGAATCCCTGCTGGGAGGTTCCATCCAAGCATCTTATCCCTTGATTTCTAACTTCAGAGATATTTCCAAAATTATGTTATTTATTTTCATGTTAAAGCATTTTCCAAAAAAAATACTTTAACATAGTTTTCCCGAGTAAAAGGCGATCCCAAACGGCGCGACCGAGAAATTAAAACGACACACAGACCGAATATTTTATGTAATTTTCTATAAAATCCTGCTAAAACTCCAAATTTCATCTCCTCAAAATCGAGCGTATCTACCTGCTAGCAGAGACGATTTGGCGTTTTGATTGCATATGAAACTTCCACGTGTTATCGTGTTTATCGCGAGAACATTGCGTCGCTACAAACACGACCCAATCATTGCATTTTCAAGATTCTGAAATGAATATTTTACAAAATGTAGTTTTTTGAACGTTGCTCTTACATTAAAAGTATCATTAAATTACTCTTTTATTATACCAAAAATCAAGTCGAGAGAAAATACATTTTTTTTTTTCGTTTCAAAATAGGAATCCTTTCAACTTTAATTAATGTAAAAATAGCCGATTAGTTTAAGGAAAAAAATTGTTTTTGAAATGAAAAGGCGTAAGCTTTTCATTATATATTTACTAAATCCATTGTGATACAACAATGGCCACAGCCGTATATGCATTATTGCATGTGCACAAATTATGGTTCGAAATAAGTACTCTTTTCCAGTATTAAACTCGAAATAAGTATTTATGGCGAAATGACTTTATGCTAGATTTGTAAATGGAAACCTACGGGATTTGGTTAAACGTCAGTTTTTAATGAAAATATAAAAACCGTTTGGATGTGCATTTAGGCTTTGCAATAACAGCTAATTTATAGCATTTTTATAGGATGCCAGTACGAAAGAAAACTATAAAAAATTGCTTAGCGACAGCAAAAGAAAAATTCTCATAAATTTTAAAACTTTTGCAGCGTAAGCTTCGTGGGTTTATCACGTATATCTTCTCTCGAAGTTCAAAAAAATTTCAAATATCTGAGAGTAAGCGTCCGAATTTGTTTACAATTGATAATAATTGAGTCTGCATTTCTTTGAAATTGAGAATAATTCAAAGAGTCAGTGTGAATTTGTAAACAGCTGTTGCATTGAAAAAACGACTATAAATTTCGACTTGGTTATAATAAGTAAATAGTTAGTCCATCTTCACTAAACAAATTCTTTCAAAGAATTTGTGAGTAACTTTTTAAAGCATTCTTTGGGAAATATAAAAATTTCCATATTTTCGTTGTTAATTAGCATTCGAAAAGCATTTGTCTTTTAAATAGCAATTTGCCGCTTTCAAATTATTTGCTTTATTTTGTTGCTTATTAGAAAACGCAAGTAAGCCTCGTGCTTTCACCAAAACTCGTTATAAATAAAATCATTTTTGTTTATGCAAGCACACGCGAATGAGATTTTGTTATTGTGGACCAATGCCGCGCTTACATAGCGGCATATTAAACGCATATCAACTCCACTTTTAGATGGGGTATGACATAACAGGATATCTTTTGTAAAGTCTCGTTGAGTTTTGTTTGTTTGTTTCATTCATTCGTGAATGTGAATTTTAATTTTGTGTGGAATCATCATGAAAATTAATTGCTGGAATTAAGTAAAGTATACATAAAAGTGCCTTTCATTGATATTATTTTTTTCTATCGTTGTCATTGTTGTTGTACAATCTTTAGCTGTGGCATACACAGCTAGTTGGTAGCATAAAGGCAACTACACTGAAATGGCTGGAGGAAGAAGTTAGGCGTATTGTAACGGAGACTGTTATCGCTGTCATCGTGGTGACTTGAACAATTTGTACTCACAAAAGAGAATTTTCCGGTTAAGCACATCATGACGACGACGATGACAACGCGTAGGTATAATGTTGATGTATTTTGTTACTTCATACTGTATTGGTTGTTTTGTTGTATATTTACATTATGGAAAAGAAAAAAAGGAGGGACTCTAAAAAAAAAAAAAAGGAGAATTTCAATTCATTAATTTTTTTTATGCCCGAATAGTAAGATTTAATTAGAAGTCAGGCATAGCATGAGCAGGGAGAGGTAAAGTGCAAAGTCACACTCATATAAGCGCTGGTAAGCTGCGATCATAATTCATCAAATTATCGTGAAAAAAAATTTTACACTTTTAACGCCAGAAACTAATTAAGTAGCAGTGGTTTAATTTTTCGTCTATCTGCCTGTGCCTTTACAAAAAGCTTTCATTAGACTCCTTTCATTAGTCTCCAAAAACAACATCGCTGAAAAATGGAAAACTCTCTTTCAGTTTGTCACGGTTATAAGAAGGCACCCAGAAGATGGCAAACATGGATTCATCCATCTGTCATGGGTGTAAAGAAATATTCGGATCGCAATTTTAAGATAACGTAAGCGTATCAGCGTTAAGAAAACAAAATTTTTTTTTCAACTCATGTTCTCGGCGAGCAAACAGAATGTAATACATCTCGTTGCAACGTAAACATAAGTAGTCAGTCTGGCACTCTGTCAGTGTATGTCTCAAACCAATCATAACAATCCATGTGAATTTGTAGTTTGACATGTTCGCTATTGCAGATTGGATACGGTGTCAAGTTTATAAGAATATGTGAAGGATTAAATGAATGTCTTTTTCATGCATACGTTCAGAAACATGACATGGGTTCAATTTATCCACAATCGTGTCGTCATATTCGAGAGTATTGATATCTAACAATTTTTTTGTTACATTTTTTTTCTATTTTAATTTCTCAAAACGGCCTTTTTTAAGTTTCGATTATAGCTTAACGGATAAAAATCGATAGAAGCTTGTTTCAAGCGCTTGACTAATTCTTCGGAGAACTTTTCATTACGGCTTCCTGGGTTCCCAAGTACAGAATTATTGTCTCTAGGGAATCGCACCACTGATCAATCCAATCTATATATAGTATTTTCACATGACACACATAAATTTGTCTCATTTTACAAAACAATTATAAATATTTTTATTTATTTTTCCCCTTTACAATATTTATGTATATGTAAATAGCGTATGTAAATATTTTTTGGCACTCTGTGAAATAAATAATGGGAAATTTATTGCATGCGGTAATGGTGCTTCACTATCACCAGCACCAACAACAACGGCATTTATTGCCTTTTCGACTTTTTTATTTCAACAAAATTCACGCAAAATTTATGTACATTGTACTCTTAGCAAGATGCAGTATTGATGCGTGTGTATATTGCCTAACGTGTATTTTCGTTTGTTTGTTTTATTGATAGAATATATTATTTAACGCATTTGCGCGCCTAAAACTAAACAGAACATTTCACTAAATTAAAATTTATAACGTGTTTTGAAAATGCTCTGCGACCAAGCTCTTTATGGATTAAAAATGCATTCGTTTATTATATATAACGTATTTTTGTTGCATTGTCACTGGTCATCCAACGCATATCAGAACATTCGGAGCAGTCAGACGTATATGAAATATCAACAACGGCATAAAATTGTTATAAGAAAAACTTGTATAATTCGAGAAGCACGAGCCGTACTAACTAACATATCATCAAAATTATTTATAGAAAATTCGAATACGCACACTTGTGCACGCATAACAATTTCAAAACTTTTTTATATATACTTTGCTGTGTGGCTGCGTTGCGTTATTTTTATATTCGTAGATATATAAAGTTCTCTGAAATACATAAACAACTATGAACGAAAATTCGTCAATTTTTTATTATTATTGTAATACAATTGTCATATATTGTCATATAATTGTCATACTCAAGCTCAGGGCAGACAACAAATTTGCATTGCAAGCTTGAGAAAGGCTTATGCTGCCTTCGTAAAACTAAAAAAGGAATCTTGTTTCCTTTCTTTTCTTATTTTGTTTAATTATATCTATTTAGCTACTGCTTTGAGTATTGCCACGGGCGATAAGTAATCGCTCAAGTGTAAGTGCGAAATAATTTCAATTCCTCCAAGCACTATAAAAGGTTGAATAGCGATATAAAATGATAACTGGCGGGAAGTTAGCCCACTGTTTTTTTTATTTTTACCATAGAACGCAAAATAAAGGCCTAAGAGGTTCAAAATTGAGTATGTGTTCAAAATTCAGCATAGTTAATTTTCATCATAAAATATTAAAATTTAGATTTTTCTGGCATAAAAAAATTTTTTTCTGCAAATTCTTATATAAGGTAGGATTGAAAAACAGGCGTGGGTAGTTCAAATTTGCTACAGTACATTTTTTTATCTAAATTGCCATTATGGGTTGCTTAAGTCTCACCATAACATATAACATAACCCTACAAAGGTTCAATTTTCGTGAAAATCTATATAAAAAGTAGGATAAAAAATACATCAAGATGGTCCAAATTTGGTACAGTTGATTTTTTATTTTAAATTACTATTAT